CGCCCCCCTCCGCAGCCCCTCGCCCCGGAGGGACACAGCCCATCCCGGGGGGCGCCTCCTGGCCCCGGCGGTGCCCGGGGTGCGGCGGCCGCGCCCTGACCCGCCGCTCTCCCCGCGCCGGGCGCTGACCCGCTCCTGACCTACAACACGGACCGTGACATCTGCGTGAACCCGGCCGGCGACCGCGCCAAGTTCACTGTCTATCAAAATAACGAGATACGGTGGCCTGAGCACCGATAATTGCCACAGGAAGGCTTTATTATCTCCCCAGCTGTGTATTCCCCAGCCATCGGCTCGAAAAGAATCAAATGGTGAAGAGTGAAAGGGATAATTAAAAACATCTTGGAAGGGGGTCAAGAAATTAACAGCCTAATATGAACAAACTTTGATTACAAGTAACAATTATTACACTTCATTTGTAAATGTTGGTGTTTATCTGCAAACAAAATCAGTTTCAAGTCTTTTTCTTTTTTTTTTTTTCTTTTTTTTTTTTTTAACTAGATTCACGTTACATTTTCCAGCGGGTGGCTGCGGGACTCGTTACCGCTCGGGGTAATTTTTGGCCGCGCTGCCGGAGGAGCCCGGGCCGTCCCACTGCTGGTGCCGGGCCCTGCCCGCCGTGGGAGCCACCATCGCCTGCGGGTCGCAGCCACGCCAGCAGCTCCTGATAATTAAAGTTACTCATTGCCACTTGCGGCCACCACCTACTGATTTCACCCCCGATAGCCAGAAAGATTCACCTTTCAGGACAAGGTCAGGAGGGACAGAGGTGCTGGTTCACTTTGGGGTGAACTGCCAACAGCAGTTCGCTCAGCCCCACGGCTCAGCCTCTCCCAGATGGGCCCTGTCACCTTTGGGAGCCACATTTCTGCCCTGGGTAGCCTTGTGCTCGCAGGGCTAACAGCAGCGGGCACCCCCCCAGCACCGCCACGCACGGGGCACCCGCCAGGGCAAGGACATTGGCGACCTGGCACTGAAGCGGGACGATGACAGAGATTCAGGGGACAAAGGAAGGTCCCCAGAGCCTTTCCAGAGGGACTCTGTCCTCATGCCGCGTTTCTGCCCTCGCAGGTCAAGCTGCTGCTGTTTCTTCTCAGAGCATGGCATGCCACCAGGCCCGGGGGCACCAGGGGAGGGTTTCCCCCACTGCTTCCACACAGGACGCGTGACAGAGGGAGCAGAGGTGAAGCTGGACGGAGCTCCACTGCAGTGGAGCAAGAGCCCAGCTCTGTTCTTGGTGAAAAAGCAACAGGATTCACTTCATGTTACGTGGCAGAGAAATACCCCGTGTCTCAGCAAGGAGGTGGTATTCAGAAAACACCTAAAAAGGTGCCTTCAGCACCCAGGCTTAGCCCCGGGTACCACCCCCCGACGGACCCACAGAGCTGCCATCCTTGCACCTTCCCTGGCAGAGAGAGACCATGGGATGTGACATGGTCCAGACAGCCACCACGGGGCCTGTGCCACCTGGCCAATGCCCTGGCTGCAACGCAAACAGCATCATCAGGAACAGGGGACTTTCTACCACTAATCGGATGAATTCAGAAACGCCCATTTTCCAGACATTTATTCCCCAAAGCCCCCTCCCCTGCTGCAGTCTGATCCCTGGGACAGGCTGTGGCTGGGAGCACGTGCTGCGGGGGGCACAGAGGGGGGGCTTCACAGCAGACCCCAAGCAGCAGCACGAGCTCAGGCACAACCTTCACAGCTACTACTGCTGGGAGTGAGACACGGCCTCTGCGCTGGCTCTAACGGCAACTGCTGGAATGAGATTTAAACATTTACAATAAAAACCGCTTTACGCCCTATTATTCTAGCTACAGCTGATGCCATGGACTGAGCAGCCCTGGCTTGTGTTTTCCTACAGATCCCCCCCCATCCTCTCTCTTTTTACATATAAAAAACTACTGAGGCAGGACGCTGGTCCTGCCCCTCCTACTGCACACCCACGGGAGATAACCCTGGGACAGAGAGGATCCGGGAGTTTTGCCCCCCATCCCTGGTGACTGGAGCCCTGCGTGGGGCAGGGGCTGCTGAGCCCCCGTGGGGGATGCTGAGCAGCCCTGGCTTGTGTTTTCCTACAGATCCCCCCCCATCCTCTCTCTTTTTACATATAAAAAACTACTGAGGCAGGACGCTGGTCCTGCCCCTCCTACTGCACACCCACGGGAGATAACCCTGGGACAGAGAGGATCCGGGAGTTTTGCCCCCCATCCCTGGTGACTGGAGCCCTGCGTGGGGCAGGGGCTGCTGAGCCCCCGTGGGGGATGCTCCCTGCCAGCAGCTTCAGGGGTTCATCTCCGGGCTGGGGCTGAGGCTCCCCCCAGAGCTCCGGAGCAGGACCCTCCCTGATGGTTTGCACACCAGGAGGGGAAAAATAAGGCGGCCTTTGGGGTTTCTCTCTGGGGTGACCCCGCGCCGTTCCCCGCCTGGGGAGCAGGGACCTGCCCCAGCAGCCATGGGGGGCCACCAGCGCCAGGGCCGAGGGGGCAGCGTGTCCCCAGCTCAGGCCTCGCCGGGCCGCAGGGGGTGGAAGTAGAGCTGCAGCCCGTCGTCCACGGGGTGCACGATGGGCACGGTCTGCATGGCGGGGTAGCCAGGGGTGGCCCCCCCGATAGCCAGAAAGATTCACCTTTCAGGACAAGGTCAGGAGGGACAGAGGTGCTGGTTCACTTTGGGGTCTCCCTGCCAACAGCAGTTCGCTCAGCCCCACGGCTCAGCCTCTCCCAGATGGGCCCTGTCACCTTTGGGAGCCACATTTCTGCCCTGGGTAGCCTTGTGCTCGCAGGGCTAACGGCAGCGGGCACCCCCCCAGCACCGCCACGCACGGGGCACCCGCCAGGGCAAGGACATTGGCGACCTGGCACTGAAGCGGGACGATGACGGAGATTCAGGGGACAAAGGAAGGTCCCCAGAGCCTTTCCAGAGGGACGCTGTCCTCATGCCGCGTTTCTGCCCTCGCAGGTCAAGCTGCTGCTGTTTCTTCTCAGAGCATGGCATGCCACCAGGCCCGGGGGCACCAGGGGAGGGTTTCCCCCACTGCTTCCACACAGGACGCGTGACAGAGGGAGCAGAGGTGAAGCTGGACGGAGCTCCACAGCAAGAGCCCAGCTCTGTTCTTGGTGAAAAAGCAACAGGATTCACTTCATGTTACGTGGCAGAGAAATACCCCGTGTCTCAGCAAGGAGGTGGTATTCAGAAAACACCTAAAAAGGTGCCTTCAGCACCCAGGCTTAGCCCCGGGTACCACCCCCCGACGGACCCACAGAGCTGCCATCCTTGCACCTTCCCTGGCAGAGAGAGACCATGGGATGTGACATGGTCCAGACAGCCACCACGGGGCCTGTGCCACCTGGCCAATGCCCTGGCTGCAACGCAAACAGCATCATCAGGAACAGGGGACTTTCTACCACTAATCGGATGAATTCAGAAACGCCCATTTTCCAGACATTTATTCCCCAAAGCCCCCTCCCCTGCTGCAGTCTGATCCCTGGGACAGGCTGTGGCTGGGAGCACGTGCTGCGGGGGGCACAGAGGGGGGGCTTCACAGCAGACCCCAAGCAGCAGCACGAGCTCAGGCACAACCTTCACAGCTACTACTGCTGGGAGTGAGACACGGCCTCTGCGCTGGCTCTAACCCCAACTGCTGGAATGAGATTAAACATTTACAATAAAAACCGCTTTACGCCCTACTATTCTAGCTACAGCTGATGCCATGGACTGAGCAGCCCTGGCTTGTGTTTTCCTACAGATCCCCCCCCATCCTCTCTCTTTTTACATATAAAAAACTACCGAGGCAGGACGCTGGCCCTGCCCCTCCTACTGCACACCCACAGGAGATAACCCTGGGACAGAGAGGATCCGGGAGTTTTGCCCCCCATCCCTGGTGACTGGAGACAGGGGCTGCTGAGCCCCCGTGGGGGATGCTCCCTGCCAGCAGCTTCAGGGGTTCATCCCCGGGCTGGGGCTGGGGCTGGGGCTCCTCCCGGAGCTCAGGAGCAGGACCCTCCCTG